ATATGATAATTAAAAACAGTCTCCTACACATAAAAAAAACAGTGTGGCAGGAATGTTGTAAGATGCAGAGATGCAAATTTTAAATAACTATTGTAAATAGACCACACTCTATTTTTCTTCTTTGTAAATGTACAGTAATGCAATGCTTCTGTCCACAGCTGTATGAGAGTGTTCTGTGTTAGTCAGTATATTAGGAGGTGGCGTCCTTTAAATAGGCTATAATATCCAGTCTTTCCTTTTTCTTCCTGATCCCACTGAAGATCATCTTGGTACCAGGAATGTACTTCTTAGGGTTTTGAAGGTAGATATTCAGAGTTTCCTCATCCCATATGATACCTAAAACAAAACAAAAACACACATTAAAACACACGTTAAGGTTTGTATTATCTTATTTGTACAGTATATGACACATCTGCATTCTCACACATCTAATGGTTTTGTTTTATTGCCTCGCATTTAAGCAGAGTTTAGAGTCAGATGTCCTGCTTGTTCAGACCTGCTGCTCTGACTGTCAGGATCCAAGACGCTTCTTAGCTCTGTAGTACTAACTGTAATAGACATACATAGGCTTAACTATTTGAAACTCTGCTTTGAAATCCATACAAATTAATAATTAATACAAAGGGATGCAGATTTTTTTAAATATCATTACAGTCGTGTAAAGGCAACAAGTGAAAACTCTTTCTCGTTCAATGCTACCAAATGCATTTCTGAAACAAATAAATAAATGAACACACACTATGGATGATGAACATTTTCCTGTATACTCCTTTAAAAACTGCAGTTGGTTGAGCAGGTTGGCCATACAACAGAGGTTACCATTGCAGCCTCATAAAATAACACCCACATACAAATGTAGAAGTTTGTTTTTATTGTCGCGTGACTAAACTTCACTGTGACTCCACCAGTCGACCAGGATCTAGGAAGAATCATTACTAATTTACCTGTAGCATGTATCTATCCCCTCCTCCATATTAATCCAGGACAAAAGAGAGCACATCCAGGGTGCACACGTGCTCTCTTGTGTTTCTAATTTGCCTTAATTTGCCTGCTGCTTTAGTTGCATCTTGATCAGTTAGTTATTTACATGCATGTACAGCTAGTCTGCAAATCAACTGCAAATCAATAGGTTGGAACTGAGGTGTTCCGTACAAGCTAAAGCGCACTGATTTATACCTTTATCAATATTGGCCTGTGTATAAGAGTAGCCAGGCGCCTGTCCTGTCTTCCTCCCAAACAGACCCCACAGGTTGGGTCCCACCTTGTGGCGCCCCCCCTCTGTCACTGTGTGACACTGGGCACATTTCTGGACAAATGACTTTTTCCCTTTATTGATGTCCCCCATGACCAGCAGCTGTGGAGGAGAGGAAGTGATGATCAGCGAGCCAGTTGTTGGATATTGATCCGTAGGAACACATGAAGTGAGAGGAATAATAGAAAAACATATTTCAGACACAGAATAGCCCAGGGCACATGGGTAGTTTAAGTTACCCTCAAACTTCCGGATTGTTGTCATAACAGGGGTTGTTACAGCAAAATAAGAGAAAAAAACCTCAGCCTTAAAGACTGTTTGTGATGTAAAGCTGAAGCCGTTTACTGGATAAAATCGCGGTGACCTTTATGTATCCCATTATAAGTATAACTACTGAGAAAAACACACATAAAAAACATAAAACTGCGTCAAAGAAGGAAAACAGTCTACAGTTAGGCTATGGTAATTCAACACAGACACACGGTTCGTCGCGGTGGTAATATGGTGTTTTCGGCTGAGTCTGACAGGAAAAAACACAACAAACAAAACAAATACAACGAAACCATCAACATTACCTGACGGAGTGTAGTTCAAGTGGCTCCAGGTAGAAGTTTCCTCTATCCTGTTTAAACTCAGACCTCTTTAGAGTCGTGTTGTTGGTTGTTAACTTGAAGTTTCCTGCCGTTTCTAGTTGTAAAGTAGCTTTTTTCAAGGACTCCACCGGATTTAAATCTCAAATTTCAGATGAGAGCGACCGACTCGAGTTGAGTAAGATGTCATTAAACGC